TGCCATTGACGATTGTTGCCTATTTCTCATGTTTTGCATGGTGGGTTGTATTTTTTAACTTCGTTTAAATTACAAAAAAAAAAATGTCAGTGTACACATAAATTTTATAGATGTACATATGTATTTTGATTTTACACCAATATAAAAATTTTGAGTAGCCCTGGACCGAAAATATTATAAAAACAGTAATTTTGTCTTTACTTCTTTTTTAGCCTTTATTAGCGAAGATGATTTGATGGCAGTACAAGACAAAACCAACCGTTATTTACGCCTTCGCGAATATTTACACGAGCAGTCGATGAAATCCGATTTGGTTGTAATGACTTTACCGATGCCTCGGAAGAACATTGTCTCAGCGCCGTTATATATGGCATGGCTAGAGAGTTTGAGCCGAGATATGCCACCGTTCCTGTTTGTACGTGGCAACCAAACAAGCGTTTTGACATTTTACTCATAGACAATTGCGCACCCCATCTACATACATATCTAGAAGTGATATGTGTATACAGTGGGCATCTAGTAATACGAATCATCTACAAAATGCGAAAATCAAAAAAAAAAAAAAAAAAGTGTTATTCGAATTGATTTTTCTGAATTCCCATAAAAACCCCACTTAGTTTGGCAGCCTTTACCCTATGCTTCCTGAATTTTTTAGCAGGATAAATTAAAAATCTAAGTTTGTGCGCAAGTATCTATTTTCTTAAGGTTGAAACGTTCAACAAAACCTGTTTATTAAAAAACTTAAGCAAGTGCACAATATGTTCAATATGTTTTCAAGAAGTAATGTGTTTCATCCAAAACCTCTGTTAAATTGATACACGGCCTCAAACAACGAACAAAGTTTAGTTGTCATATGACTACGATGGGAAGGAAATATTCAAGTTGGCTTCAAAAATTTTTTGTCACTGTTCATATTATAGAAAGCATATTAGGTAGTCGAATATTCACTGTATATGCATGTTTGCTGAAATATACATATGTACATATGTATGTATGTATTGTGTGTAAGCACTAGGTATAAAAATCATTTACCATTAATTCGACATTTTAGTCTCTATTTATTTTACTTTGTTTGTACAAAAGTATGGCAGAAATTGTTTTTTGTTGATGTTAAAATTAAATTAATTACATTAATTATTATTCTGTATATGCGACGCGTACAAAACTGTCAATAAACATGATAAAAATAATTGAGAGTATATTACATACTTATTTATTTAACCCTGAGTCACTGGTGTCAGGGTGTAAACCACACGTAAGTTCAATTTCTTATATAATTTAAACGTTTTAAGGAAAGTCGTCAAAGAGTGCAGATGTAATCCTCATTTACATTTTTCTGAATGTCTCTTTTTCTCGAAAAAATGTCACCTTCGTAGAGGGCAACATAATCACAGTGCAACATTTTAAAGAAAGAGCACCCAATATATGTACATACATGTGAAGCTCCTAAGAAAAAAACACGAAAACTTGACAGCCCTAGCGCAGGGCAGAATAAATGCAATATTATTTCGAGAAAAGAAAACGCTTTAAGGGTACATACATATGTACACATAAATGCCGATGGTTTCATAAAAGCTACCAAAAAATAACGTTATTTTTACGGCAAACGCATTCGGATTTTTTGACTATCCGGAAACTCGAATATCTGAATAATAAATCCGAATAACTAGGTATCCAAAAAGTGTGTTGTTATTTGGATTTGCGAATAATGATATTTGAATATTTGAATATAGAAATTAACAATAAAAAATAATAGAAGGGGTTAGAATCAAAACAATTATTATTATTAATTATTTGTCACCAAATAAACACTATATTTAATTATACAAATATGGGTATAACTTATATTTTCAAAAAATGTCACTTAGACCCTTATGATTCTAAGCCTTTCAATTGTTTGTGTATTAATGAAGTGGTCTATTATTTATTTTGCACTTCGATTGGTTCACTAATTAAGAAAATAATTTTACTAATCCGTTCAAATGCTGATTAAAATCTCCGGACATCCGGATAACCGAATGAATGGATACTAAGCGGATAACGAAATGAACGGTTATTAACCGGATATCCGTATAAGAAAATTACGGAACATTAATCGGATGTAATAAATAATAATCGTTGTGATGCCGTATGAGACCGAACTTACCATTTCTTATCACATTTTACTGGAAATTTATCCCGTACCATTGGCCGAGCTTCCCCTCCGATTTGTGGCGCGCGCCTTGATGTTGTCACACTAGACACACACACAAAACAAGTGGAAAACAATTGTAGGGTTCTCCAAAAACGAAAAAAATTTAACAAAAATGTTCAATTTTTTTTTTGTTTTTGGGTTTTTATACAAATTTTGGGTATTCAGTTTTATAGATCACTACATTTTAGTATAACTAAGTGCAGGTTGCAAGTGGCTGAGAGTTCAATCTTGAATGAAATTTTTTTTTTAGGATTTTTTTTTATTTTTGTATATTTTTTTTCGGGGGGGCACCCTAGAATTGGTTTCAACTCGGTTTTGTTATGTAATATTTATTAACTGAAACAGAATAATCGATTTTCTTCAAAATTGCTACTTTCTCTTCACTTTTCACTAGAAAATTTAATACAAGCAAACAAAAATTAAAAAATCGGGCCCGGCTGGTCTCTTGAAATTTTATTAGCTTCGATTAAAAAAAAAATCAAATTGAATGAAAAATTAAGTGAAATTAAACTAAATTCCAGGTTTGAACCACTGTGCAGCGGCCACCCAAATATCCGGATAAGAAAATGGCGGAATATGAACCGGATATCCGTACTATGCGGATTTTATCCGTATACGCGAACATACGGATGAGACAAGGATATTCTCATATAAATGGCGAACAATAGCAACTGATTTCGGTTTTATTAGATTATCTACGTTCTTTGGTAAGATAGATAATAATAAAATACTTATGGGTGGATAACACCCATGGATAGCAATTATGACAAAACAGTTCTCTAGCAAAACTTCCGCATCATTTTATTAAACGCGTTTATTCTTAACACCCTGTGCTAATAGCTAATCGCTTTCCACTCAGCAAACACACCAACCTTTTTTCTATCTCTCTTTCTGACAGAGATAAACATATGCTTGTCTCAGTCATGCATGCGTTCCAATTATAATTGCTATCACACTCGTGCTTCCGTTCACATCTATAGTCGTCGCAGATCCAGTGTTGCGTTACGTGGTTGGAAAGCATTTCACAATTTCGGAGGTTAGTTTTATTGGGAATATCTCCCATTTTTTAAGCAAACTAAACGCGTGTTCGTATTTTTAATGTGAATTGAAATTAAACTAGTAGTTTTAAAAATGTTTAAGCAAATTTCACTTAATGAATTGCATTTACAGAACACAGGCATTAGCAGAAGTTAGGCAACTCTATCTTGAATGTGGATCCCTGTAGTGCAGAATTGTAGCAAAATTTTCAATTCCGCAGTTTTAGTAATTGCAATCCGGTTCGAGTGTAAACTTCGATTAATTTAGTAAAGTGAATATTTTTTGCGATAATATATATGTACATGAAAAAGGGATTTATAAAATCTAAAAATTGGGTTTTGGTAAAAGATATTCAGGCCCGATGCCTTTGGTCTACATCAGGTGCAAGAAGAGCAAAATTGCTAAGCAAAATTGTTGGCAGAAAAGCAAACGCCTGAGCTGCATCTTTAGTATTGTGCAGAAATAAATATGTACAACCTGTAACTAAAGTTTTGACCATTCGTCGGCAATCAAATTGTTTTCAAGTGGAAGGCAAACGTACATATTTGCGGATGCTCAACTTGGTTCCTCAAGGTCCTTATTTCAGCAACGTTTTTGGAAACGGCAGTCTTCATGCGGTTATGTCAAGCTAATTGTGCGGCGAAGGTAATTGCAAAATGAATTTTTTCTCTATGCACCTAAATGGTATATTTCTATATAAATAAGAACTAAGTTTCCATACGCCGCCTTTGCTTCATAGTCAACAAGGCTATGTTCCATAATGGAGATGGACGAAATGTGTATAATTGAAATCAAGTGCCGGTATACGATAGTGATTTCAAATGAAATGAATCAATTGTTACTTTCAACCAGATCTAATTTGGTAAATCAATAAACGCTTGCTTTCAACGCTTGTCCAGCACCGACTTGGCACTAAATAGAATGTGAATATTGGACCTTTTTCGGTTGGGAATATTAATCAAGAGTCAATACGCATGTACATGCATACATAAATAGGTAAACAAAACCTTGATTGAAAACGACCAGTATTGAATTATGTTTAATATTCCGTTGATGTTCTACTATTTCCGTACATTGCGGTTTGTATGTAACCGCTGAAAGGACAGTGATGAAAAATGATCTGGTAAAATTAATTGGCTATAAATCTATGTACATACATACATGCTGTGTTATGGTATGTAATCAATGATAATTTGGCCAAAATTTTTGTTCTATTATGTCCGTGTGTAAAATGAAATTGTACTATTTTTAAATATTCAATTAAAAGGCATGCGAGGGGCCGAACGCGGTAAGAGCACCGATTGCATGCTGTCGCAAATGTTTCATAAAACTAAAAATAAATCTACATGATTTGGAGGACAGATATTACGCATGCATCAGGAATACATAAGTGAATATTCTGATTTACATCCCAATAAATTGACATAGTTAATACTTTTGTAAATTTAATAATATCCAAATATTAGTTTTTATATATGTATGTAGTAATTTTTAGAATTAGTTATTTTCGGTAAAAATATACATATGTTTTCTTTTTATTTTACTGGTGATCATATTAATATATTCATTTAGCTATACATACAATTGTTGCCAGTACTAGGTATACTAAAACTAATGGACTAATGTTATCTGTAGCTAATGATAAGATTATTTATTACATTAATTAAGACGTCGACTTATATTTTATACATACGTGCATATGTACATACATATGTGCCTCAAGACGTGCAAACACCAACCACGTGCTACCCATATGACGTATAAACCTAAGAATAGTACATGTATATACGTACATTTTACCGGAAGAAAAAGTTCGGGTAAAATCTTGCAACTTTATTCTGTACCCAACTCTCCGAAAATCGCTCTCGTGTAAAGTACTTTGGAGGACATTGGAGTACGGGATAATTTTTCCTGTAACTTCCTGCAAGTTTGTGTAAAAACCTGTAAGTTAATGGGGTACTGGATCAGAGCTAATATAAGATCTCTACTTTTAAGGAGTCTAAACAGCTGCCGTGACTGACCGGCGGCATACAATTGAATGCCATTCCATCTGTGTTTTAATACAGTATTTCCCACTTATAAACCACCGCTTTTTAGCGCCGATCTTACCCTTTGTGAGATTTCCATATTAACTAATGGTTCGATTTCCGCGCTTATAAAGACATATATGTACATACAGCTGCGAGCACTAAAATAGTAGTGTGCACTTACGGTTAACATTTTTCGAAATTGCCAAAAAACAAATAGTTGTATTAATTTTATTGAAAACTAACGGACAATCTCGTAACTAAATGTAGATTCAAAAGAGTTTTATTTACATAAACGCTAAAAAAATCAATTCACGTAAGATGTTTTTTTATGGAAATTACTGCGAGCAGTAAAATAGTAGTATATAAAAAAAGTCTTCAAAATTTGTTAAATTGTTAATTTGAATACTAAAATTTAGTACAGTTATTTAGAATTTGGTAGCATGACCGTTGTTTTAAATCACTGTTGCAAAAAGATTTCTCAATAAAGTCACGTTGCTGTTGGCAGTTACAAGTTTGAAAAAGTAGACGACTTCGTATATTTGGGGACCAGCATAAACACCATTAATAACGTCAGCCCTTAAATCCAACGGAAAATCGCTCTTGCCAACAAGTGCTACTTTGGACTGAGTAGGCAATTGAGAAGTAAAGTCACTCATCATGCCTGTGCTGGTGTACGGCGCGGATGCATGGACAATGAATACATCTGATGAAGCGCCTTCAACGCGGGCCGCGATGCTGGTAACAGAGGGAGAGGAGGCCTTCTTTGCGTTAGAAAGACCAGGTGGAGCAGGACTTGGCTTCACTTGGCATTTCCAATTGGCGTCAGTAGGCACAGAAGAGAAAAACTGGCGTGCTGTTTTGGACTCGGATAAAATCGCTTAGGCGGTTACATCGCCAATAAAGAAGAAGGACAAAACACTCTTCAACAAGTTTTGACCACCAGTGTAAGGGCTCTACGGTTATAAGCGTTGTTGTTGTAACATCATACAAATTCTCCAAAGAGTTTTTGGCAGTGTCACTACACGCCTTGGCCAGATACAAATCTTGGTCGGTCCGGTTACGTAGTAGACTGGCGGTCAAAAGTGTATGAATGGTGTTTTATTTTTAATATTTACAAATTTTTTCAAGCTACAACTTTTTTATAAAAATATTGGGCGTGCCGTAACAAAACCCATATAAACCACACTTTCAAACTTTATACAGAATTTAGAAAAATCCCACAAAATTTTTTCTTAATTTCAAATTTTTTATCAGAACGTTTATAAAACTTTTCGTACGCAGTTAACTGGCTTATAAAATTTTAATAAAATAAGTGCAAGTTTTGAGCGGCTAAAAAATCGCATTGATTTTTAATATTTGTTTTTTTTTTACTGCGTTTTGCACTGTTTTCCATAAACATGAATTTCTTGTGGAAGAATATATGCAAAACTGTTTGCGAAAAATGTTTGAAAAAAAATATTAAAAATCAATGCGATTTTTTAGCCGCTCAAAACTTACACTTATTTTAATAAAATTCTATAAGCCTGTTAACTGCAACTCAAAAATTGCAATTCTGTTAAGGAGCTCGAAATTTAGATACAAATGATATGGTTTTCGTTAAAGCATGAACCACAATTTTATAAAAAATTACACCATTCATCCACTTTTGACCGCAAGGGTATGTAGGTGCATAAAGATGCATACATTTCTGTTGATGCTTTTAAAGATGCCCGATAGTAAGGGCAATCACAGTCCGCTGTATAAGCATCGAAATATGTAATTGCAAGACCAAATTCACCAGATTGTTATTACGCTTATTATTTGCATTTCATTTTAGAACCAATAAATTTGTCTATCCATGAAAAGCGCCAGTAGGCTTTACAAAATTAGATATCATGTGACTGCATCTTATGCAGCATATACATATGCATGTACCTACATATTTGTTTGTACGTGTCGATTTAACTTGCTATCATTGGCATGCAAAGTTATCAACGCTGAAATGTCTTGTATTCAAAAGCTTACAATAAATATGAGTTACGAAACAGTTTTAGAGTAGTGAGTTATCAGTCATGCCTTTGTCAGCATTTTCTTGAACTGAGAATTTAGATAAAAAATTAAAATGACGAGTGTTCACTCCTAAAGTGATAGCATCTAGGTATATACATACATATGCATATACATACAGTATTGGACATATCTATAGCACCCCCATTTCAAAGTGATAGGGGGGTTTGAAATTTTTCCCGATGAAAACTACCAACAAGCTAAATCTAATACGTAGTACATTTTTATACATCATTTTCAAGGTCTACAAATCCTCTTTTCAAAATAGATAAGTTCACCAAGTATGAAAATACCGGGTTTTTAATCAAAAACAATGGAGGGTTCAAGAACTATAAGAAACCTATTTTCATGTTGTACTCGACTCTACCTACAACCTTTTTTTTTGTTTCGGGTGTATTTGGTGTTTTTTGGTTCCAACACTAAAATTCAAGTTTATGAACTGTGTTAGTTACAATCAGCTATTTTTTTATCAGCTGTTTTCTTGCTGGGAAAATATATTCCAGCACAAACTAGCGACTCTCTCAATTTCCCCTACATTTTCGGTAGTTATCAAAAACTATCAATACCAATACGCGAATGAACCCAATAAGTAACTGCGTTTTAATGATTTTATGTTGTTAAATATGTACAGTCAAACAATAAAGTTTAGGTACAGCGATTTTTTTTTTGCAATACGGGCAACTGTTTATTGATTAACTATACATACGAACACATCAATATCTTGTTACGCTTGGGTGATTACCTAAATGCGTAATAAAAAAAAAGAAATTTGGCTAAAGCGACCCTCTGACTGATTACAGACAGGTCTGCGTCTGTAGTCGTTTTCGGTTAGCCAGCCACATAGCAAGTAGCGAATGGAACAGCACTTCAAATAAATATGTACATATTCGAGTACAATATAGATAGTCCATGTTTATTTCAACTAAAACTTTTTGATTTGATTAACGTGACTGTGGTTTTATTCACATTCTTTTGCGTCTAGACGTTCTTGATGACAGTCATTTTTGGCCCATCTGATCCCGGCTAACCAAAAGGATCCTAAAAAACTCCTTTATGAGCTATCAACCTTCTTGTATCGGAGCTTTTCTCTCTTAAAAGAGCTTTTTTTCGGAGCCCCAAATGAGCGATTTTTCGTTCTACGCGGGCACGCTGAATGGAGTCTAAATAATGATTCCAAAACCAATGAATTCGGTGCATTTTATGGCTTTTTCAGCTTTTTGGAGTCATATTTGAACGTCTTCTAGGAGTCTTTCTTTTTTTTTGAGTCATATTTGAGCATTGTTTGGTTCTTTGTTATGGTTTATTGGAGTCTTTTTGGAGTCGTTATCTAGCATTTCGTAATACTTTTTTGATGTTTTTAACCCCCTTTTAATAAAAATAAAACATTTTCTTTTATATTTCGATTTAAATTTTTTTAATATTATTTGTTATTAACATATATAGTATTTAAATTAATAATTAAAATTATAAATACATATACCCGCGGGCTCGTGTGGAACAAACCTATAATCTCCGATTTAGCAGCTTCCTTTCTGTTTTTAAAAATATGATTATTCACCTCTTTTATTC